AAAGAAGTGTGAGGGCTCACCATATTTCTTCCTGATTTCCTCATGTCGGTCTTTCATCTCTGCCCTCCTGTGAAGACAAAACATTCTCCAATGAGCTGTGGCCTGACGGCTGATATCTTTTGTTCAGACTCTCAAACACTCCCAACAGTTATGTGGCCACAAACCAGTCTGGTCTGATAACAGGGTGACGTGTGCATTTTCCCCTAACTGTACATTCTGCAGTGCTATGACGGAAACTGACATGGATATGAACAATGCTACTGCAGGTACGTCAATCGCACTAGATTTTAAACCATCAACACAAATACTGAGGTAACATGAACCCTAAGATGCCCCTAAGCCATAAAAGTTTGTATTTGATTTTGTAATGGAGCTATTGTATGAGTGTGTATACATAAAGTATTAATAAATGCGTATTAAAATGTGCATTTGAACAGTAAAGCCAAAGATGAACAAATACAAATCACTGCTAAATCAAGGGGTGAACTAAGCCTAACTCAAACTTGATGTACATAAAAAAACACACTGCCATTTTTAAACAACTAACTTGCAATGAGCCAGTCATCAAAGTTGACATATGACAAATACAGTGCTCCACAGTGCTGCAGCATGCAGTTTGAACGGCTTGTGTACACAGGAATACAGTATTAATGTAAATAATAGGAGAAACATAATAATAGCAGGAAATACACATTACATGGACAACGAAGTGTGAGTTTTTTTTGTTAATGCATTGGACATGGACCAAACTAAATTGAATGAAATATCTCTTTCTCAAAGATGGTTTCCTGTCTCACTGACTCATTTTTCCAAAATGTTTGGTTTCAATTTTTTATTTGACATTACAAAAAATGGGGTCAAACATCACGATTGACAGCTAAGAATGACTCGTGGTCCGTCGAGTGCATGTATCGATAATTTTTTTGTTTCATTTCTGAATGGTGGGAAGTGGAGACGCGTTGTTCCTCTTTATGCTTTAAGCACAGAACAACTAATGCTAAACTACAAACACTTGTACGTGAAATAGGAACAAGCACAAAAGAACAAACCATGAACACAGTCTTGAGTTACACAGTCAGTTTCACATACGCAGAACAATGCTGCTCACCTTTCTTCCTGCTTTGTTTTCGTCTTATCGTTTTGTCGCTGCATCTTGGCATTAAACCGATTGGATCTGACACAAAGACACAACACAAGGTCATGGTTAGTTATAGGTCGTGGAAAATACACAGCGTGTGTTTGATCGTGTCTGTATGTACACACACCTTCAGGTAACCACTCCAAAGCCAACAGAAATGTTCAGTATTTGACTTTATTATCAACACACGATTAGCCTGACATTCCCTCACATAAAACCCACTGATCATAATCTCTCCTCCTTGTATTGAGTTTAGCTCCACACAGAGACAACCATCAGTAACATGAAGTCAAATCTCATAAAATGTCTTTCTGTGTAACTAGGACTTTTCTCGAACCTATTTTATTAATTGATCCCAAAGTACATCTTATTCCATCAGTGTCTCATCCCGGCATCATTGTTCAGACTAACTTTAGCCACTGTTCACTTACCCGAAGTTTTCACACTTGCAGCAGCAGAACAAGCAGACGAAGAAGGCGATGATGATGATCCCACCAAACACTGCCAAGGTGATTATCAGGGTCTGGAAGTTCACTACAGACAGAGACACAACGTTATAGACTCAGGTTCCTTCAAAATAGAAAAAAAAAATAAGCAGCACTCTCTTCTTTTTCAACTCTTATTTTGAAATCACATCCCTGAATACATGCAATTAGAGTTTGTTGTTTCTTAACTGTGTCTAATGATAAGAATTCAGATTTCCTTCTCTAGTACAGTAAATTAAGTAGAAATGTCTCATCTGAACGCTTCAAATGAACAATGTGTGTGTGTGTGTGTGTGTGTGTGTGTGTGTGTGTGTGTGTGTGTGTGTGTGTGTGTGTGTGT